GAAAAAGTAAATCAATTCAAATACTGGGTACATATGATCTTTATTAAGTGAATGAAACTACTATTAGAAAAAAAAAGAAAGATTATCAGCCGGAAACAGGGCATACTTCAGTAGTCAGAATTTACTCAAACGTAAAAAAATTACAAGAGAAACAAAGAAAACTGCTTATATAACTGTAATCAGACCAGTTGTAACATATGCAAGTAAAACTTGGATTCTAACACACACAAAAACAGCAGAATACCTATTAAACACATTGGAGACAAAAGTTCTCAGAAAAATAAATGGACCAACAAAGGATGAATATGGATGGAGAATACCAACCAACCAGGAATTGTACAGTCTATATCAGGATGCCTCGCTATTTAAAATAAATAAGGGTAGGCTACGATGGACACGACGTTATGAAAGAATACCAAATGGCAGAGGAATTTAGAGGGTGCCCCACCAAGATCCGGGAGGACATCGGGCTTAGGTGGATGGATGATGTGAATTAAGATCTACATCAGCAGGGAATCCACGCATGAAACAAAGAAGAGCATTAGTTTGGTCTGAGTGGACGGATGTGGTAAGGCATATTAAAGCCCTGCATGGGCTTTAGCGCCACAGGGATGGATGGGTGATTTATAGGAAGTTTACAAAAACCAGTTCGCTTGTATTCTGTCATGATGAACGTTTTGTATGCGTTGAGTGTAAAGTTCTTTACATCATATAGTTATGGGTTAACAAATAAGAGAAAAACATCATTGAAAACTGACCTGTTTCATCGTTGTCATCTAGATCCTGAAACAAAGTTGCATTAAAAAATATTTGATAATGTTAGGATGCAAGAGGTTTAAAACAAGCTAGCATGTTGTCTCGTCAATTATTGCATTGTTCTTTTATAAATATAAAAACAAACCAGATGTTTTCGGGACTTAAAATGTATTTGTTTTTTGTTTTTTTAAACAGATCTTAACTTTCTGTTGAAAAAAAGCAGTCTAAGCATGCGCTCTGTGGCTTTCTACATAAAGAGTGCTACTGAGATACCAGCTCATCCAAGTACGTAGCAAGCTACTAGTATTTCAGATTCTTAAATAAAATATGCATGCTCTCCAACGGTGGCATACAATATTCATGCTCTCCAACGGTGGCATACAATATGCATGCTCTCCAACGGTGGCATACAATATTCATGCTCTCCAACGGTGGCATACAATATGCATGCTCTCCAACGGTGGCATACAACATTCATGCTCTCCAACGGTGGCATACAATATTCATGCTCTCCAACGGTGGCATACAATATTCATGCTCTCCAACGGTGGCATACAATATTCATGCTCTCAAACGGTGGCATACAATATTCATGCTCTCCAACGGTGGCATACAATATTCATGCTCTCCAACGGTGGCATACGATATTCATGCTCTCCAACGGTGGCATACAATATTCATGCTCTCCAACAGTGGCATACAATATTCATGCTCTCCAACGGTGGCATACAATATTCATGCTCTCCAACGGTGGCATACGATATTCATGCTCTCCAACGGTGGCATACAATATTCATGCTCTCCAACAGTGGCATACAATATTCATGCTCTCCAACGGTGGCATACAATATTCATGCTCTCCAACAGTGGCATACAATATTCATGCTCTCCAACGGTGGCATACAATATTCATGCTCTCCAACGGTGGCATACAATATTCATGCTCTCCAACAGTGGCATACGATATTCATGCTCTCCAACGATGGCATACAATATTCATGCTCTCCAACAGTGGCATACGATATTCATGCTCTCCAACAGTGGCATACGATATTCATGCTCTCCAACAGTGGCATACAATATTCATGCTCTCCAACAGTGGCATACGATATTCATGCTCTCCAACAGTGGCATACAATATTCATGCTCTCCACAGTGGCATACAATATTCATGCTCTCCAACAGTGGCATACAATATTCATGCTCTCCAACGGTGGCATACAATATTCATGGTCTCCAACAGTGGCATACAATATTCATGCTCTCCAACGGTGGCATACAATATTCATGCTCTCCAACGGTGGCATACAATATTCATGCTCTCCAACAGTGGCATACGATATTCATGCTCTCCAACGGTGGCATACAATATTCATGCTCTCCAACGGTGGCATACGATATTCATGCTCTCCAACGGTGGCATACAATATTCATGCTCTCCAACAGTGGCATACAATATTCATGCTCTCCAACGGTGGCATACAATATTCATGCTCTCCAACGGTGGCATACAATATTCATGCTCTCCAACGGTGGCATACAATATTCATGCTCTCCAACGGTGGCATACAATATTCATGCTCTCCAACAGTGGCATACAATATTCATGCTCTCCAACAGTGGCATACAATATTCATGCTCTCCAACGGTGGCATACAACATTCATGCTCTCCAACGGTGGCATACGATATTTACAAAACTACTTTATATGCGTGAAATCAGCTTTAGGCGTATGGAAACAATGGATTTAATGTGACACATTCCTTACATATGGAAACAATGGACTTAATGTGACACATTCCTTACGTATGGAAACAATGGACTTAATGTGACACATTCCTTTCGTATGGAAACAATGGACTTAATGTGACACATTCCTTACATATGGAAACAATGGACTTAATGTGACACATTCCTTACGTATGGAAACAATGGACTTAATGTGACACATTCCTTACGTATGGAAACAATGGATTTAATGTGACACATTCCTTACGTAAGTTAACAATGGACTTAATGTGACACAATCCTTACGTATGGAACCAATGGACTTAATGTGACACATTCCTTACGTATGGAAACAATGGATTTAATGTGACACATTTCTTACGTATACAAACAATGGATTTAATGTGATACATTCCTTACGTATGCAAACAATGGATTTAATGTGACACATTCCTTACGTATGCAAACAATGGATTTAATGTGACACATTCCTTACGTATGGAAACAATGGATTTAATGTGACACATTCCTTACGTAAGTTAACAATGGACTTAATGTGACACATTCCTTACGTATGGAAACAATGGATTTAATGTGACACATTCCTTACGTATACAAACAATGGATTTAATGTGACACATTCCTTACGTATGCAAACAATGGATTTAATGTGACACATTCCTTACGTATACAAACAATGGATTTAATGTGACAAATTCCTTACGTATACAAACAATGGATTTAATGTGACACATTCCTTACGTATACAAACAATGGATTTAATATGACACATTCCTTACGTATACAAATAATGGACTTAATGTGACATTCTTTACGAATACAAATAATGGACTTAATGTGACGCATTCCCTACGTATACAAACAATGGACTTCATATGACACATTCCTTACGTATACAAACAATGGACTTAATGTGACCCATTCCTTACGTATACAAATAATGGACTTAATGTGACGCATTCCTTACGTATACAAACAATGGACTTGATGTGACGCATTCCTTACGTATACAAACAATACGTCTTCATGTGACACATTCCTTACGTATAAAAACAATGGACTTAATGTGACACATTCCTTACGTATACAAACAATGAACTTCATGTGACACATTCCTTACGTATACAAACAATGGACTTCATGTGACACATTCCTTACGTATACAAACAATGGACTTAATGTGACCCATTCCTTACGTATACAAATAATGGATTTAATGTGACGCATTCCTTACGTATACAAACAATGGACTTAATGTGACGCATTCCTTACGTATACAAACAATACGACTTCATGTGACACATTCCTTACGTATAAAAACAATGGACTTAATGTGACACATTCCTTACGTATACAAACAAAGGAATTAATGTGACGCATTCCTTGAATATACAAACAATAGATCTTCATGTGACACATTCTTTATGTACACAAACAATGGACTTCATGTGACACATTCCTTACGTATACAAATAATGGACTTAATGTGACACATTGCTTACGTATACAAACAATGGACTTCATGTGACACATTCCTTATGTATACAAACAATGGACTTAATGTGACTCATTCGTTACGTATACAAACAATGGATTTCATGTGACGCATTCCTTACGTATACAAACAATGGACTTAATGTGACACATTCCTTACGTATACAAATAATGGACTTAATGTGACACATTCCTTACGTATACAAACAATATGTCTTAATGTGACACATTCCTTTAAGTATACAAACAATGGACTGAATGTGACACATTCCTTACGTATAAAAACAATAGGACTTAATGTGACATATTCCTTGATATGTTAGTTAATCTGTGGTTTTGCTACTTTATTTTTTAGAATTGAATTTGTCTTTGACATTTCCCCTTATTTACAGGTGCTTATCCCCAACACTTTTGCTTAACACTAGAACACATGTACTTACACTATCAGATGTGTCAGCTGGGCGGTTGGGTGGGTGACGGGTACTGTGAAAATACATTGTTATTTTATTCTATATATGACCCAGGATTCAGACCATATTATGTCTTTGTATTGTAGGTTACATAAAGGAAACTCATAGGATATGTGCTGGTACTTTTAAAAAATCATATTTATAACAACATTTAGTGTACATTAATAATTGGGCATGATGGTGTCAAAGATTGGAATTATATGATAGTATTTAAATAACGTTTTTAATCGTATTATGAAGGTACCTAATGATGGTATTTAATGATGGTATTTAATGATGGTATCTAAAATGGCATTCAATTATCCTATTTAATGATGGTAATTAATGATAAATTACATGATGGTATTAAATGATGCCGTAAATTAATTTGTTAAAAGTTATTTATTAAAGAAATATTACAACAAGGTATGTTAAAACTTGAATCAATAAACAGGAAAATAAGATGTGAACGTTTCGGCTTAGAGCCTTCTTCAGCGAAAATGACCAAAAGAATTACGAAACGAATGTATTAAATCTATTCAAATCAAATATTTACATGCAGTTTACACCATTACAAGAATGTGAAGCTTCGGTTTTCTTTGGACGATATCTTCTGGGTGGCAACATATGATGTATGGGCACGAGAGCATGACACTTGTAACATTTGCTCTCTGTGACATTCATCTCACCAAAACCCCTGGAGATAAACAAGTCTCAGCAATGCTAGCATAGGATGAAATTAAAAATTGAGTTCTTCTCTATATTTGCCCGTATATGAATATTTCCAGATCAATAAGTTATTCACTAATCAAAGAATAATTAATTAGTACCGTAACAGACTCAAAAAAGAATTTCGATAGAAAAAAAAACAAAAACATACTAAGTTGTCAAAGTATCTGAATTTGTAGAAGATAATGAAGGCATATTGAGGGTGAAAATTAGATGATGTTAATTATGAAGAATACAAATAAAAGTCCTTATATTTAAAACTTTTTTCATCGAAGACTTAACTTGTAACAAAGAAATGACTTTAAAAAGTGCAATTAAGGAGAAATGGCGGTTTTTGGTATTTGCTACTTACGTGAATTCATTTTTACATTCGCAAAGAAATTTGCCGATTCCCCATTCTTTATCTTTGGGGATAGGGTCGTAAATTTTTTTGCACTGGTTGCATTTTGACATCTAGAATAAACAATGCTAAAAATTGACTCAACAGAAAAAATGTAGGTGTTGTTATAGATATAGTGGAGAATTATATATATATATATATATATATATATATATATATATGAATGAAGTATGCTGACATAACGCCAAAGAACCGATAAGATTTAAGTACGTTCGGATCCCAAAAAAGAATCATAGTTATTTTCTATTATTTTAGTAAAAATTTAAGTATTATTATTATTATAAATTACAAATAAATTCAAAATAACAAATAAAGAACTATTTTAAGCAGTTATCCGAATTTAAAAGTTAAAAATAAAATTCATGATAAAATTATGAACTAAGAATTACATCGTAATCACATTTATCGGGAAAACCCAAACATCAGTTGTTTTTAGTGCGTTGTTAATATTGCGAAATAAAATTAAATTTAATTCTTCTTTAAAAAAACTCGCAAAAGACGTCATAGCGCGAATCGCCAATGGTAGCCAAAACTCTTAAGTTTCTATGATTTAATAACCACGCGACACAAATCTGATAAAGTATTTCCACCTTCTTAAAAGTAAAATTAATAAAATTAATTTTTAATAAATGGTTTTAATAAAATAAATACAAATTTTAGCTTTTTGAAAAATTTAATACGTTTTTACTTTTTTAATTCTAAAAATATACTTTTATTAGAAACTTAACCTTTAAATATAATTCTATTAAGAAAATGCCGTTTAAGTCAATCTTGAAAATCCATAGCAAAATAGCATTCACTAATGCACTTGTAACTCATCCAAATAAGAACCAACGTTTTGAAGTGCAAAATATTTTAGTTTGGGTAGGGAAGTAGCAGATTTTCTAAATTTATTTAAATCTGTGTGGGGGAGGGGTTGGTCACTTTGTCCCAGGCAGCACAAGAAACGTCTCAAAATAAAGGAATGAATTTGATAAATAATTAACCTGCTTGGGTACATTCATTATCAGAGTTTCGAAGTAGGATGTATACATTCTTACGTGGAGGACAATATATTTAACTCCTATGGTATTAAATTTGTGAAAAAAGAGATGTTACATTCTCTTTTTACAAGTATGGGTATGTTCATTTTGTCCAAGTCACTACAAGATACGTCTCAAAATAAAGAAATGCATTTAATTAGTAATTATCCTTCTTGGGTACATACATGTCAGCGGTAGGAAAAAGGATGTGTACATTTTTACGTGGATGACAATATATTTAAATCCTATGGTATTACATTTGTGAAAAAAAAAAGATGTTACATTCTCTTTTTACAAATTAACATATGTTTACCAATTAAGAAAATCAATGGCGTTCACAAATCGTGGGTACATTTATATTAGTATACCCATGAATATCAAAACCCAATTATTTTGCACACTTGAAAAATTAATTTAAAAAATAGAGATGGGTTAATATTTACATTCAAAAAAAATAAACATATATTTTAGTTTTTTACATTGCAAAAGATAAAGATGTGTGTATTTTTATGAGATTAACAATTTAAATTTTAAAAAAAAGACACTCAAGTCGGTTACAGGCGTGAACAACTGTTGCGAGAATCTTCTTTAGATCAAAGAATTCTTTGTTTGACGATTTTCTGATAATGTATAATTTTTTTTTATAAAAAGGAATAAGTGTGTTTACATTTTCGATGAAGATATCAAATATATCAACTCCATGAATATTAAAAGTACTTACATCATATTAAATATATATTTTTTCCAATTTTTAGAGATAACAAGTGTGTAAGTCAAAGGCACGAAAATAGGTAAATCTAAATTATTGCTCTAGCGTAGAGATAATCCCTCAGTTAACTTCTTTAGTTAAAAAAGTGATATAATTAGTAATAACTTAGACTGGGTAATTTAAGGTCATGCTGAGATGGAAAAAAGTAAATTAGGAGTAGTAGGTTAGGCGTATATTGTATAGCAGATACATATTTCTCAAAACTTAATGATGTTTGAAACTTAAATATTATTACATAGATACTTCTTTTTAAAGTTAGGAATTGTGATAAGTTTTTGCCATAGCAGGTACAAATAATTGCAATGGACTTACCTTTATTATACCGATAACATCGGGTCATTTATTCTAGTCTAAAAAAAGTGTATTCAACAGAAGTGTGTATAAGTATGAATCTTATGTCGCACAGTGGCACGCGTTCTTCGACAAGCTGAACATCTTAAGAAATAAAACACATCTCTTCACATTAAGTAATCTTGAAATTATCTCTTATTCGAAGTTTTGCTATTCCAAAACCTAATTGTGGTACATTTTTTTTTCATCCATCCCTGCTTAATGATATAATTATTAATTGGTTTATTTCACTCGGATAGTCTGAGGTATTAAACATTTCAATTTGTTTACCTCTTCCTTTTTGAGAACTTTCGTCCACCAAGATTTTTCGCACTTTTTGCAAGCGAATAGCCTCAGTGTGGTTTCATTTCCGGTGTCTAGCTCTTGTGCTAAATTTAGTGAATCAATGGCTGAGCATACTTCATGGTCAGGATCCTAAAAGGATTTCGTCAAAACAAAAATGTTCATACCGTTGAAATAATTATTGAAATAATTATTTAAAAACACAACTTTATAGCTGGTGCTCTAGAAAGTTAGTTGAATGGCTATTACCAATAAATCCTTTTTAGTTTAATGAGATGGGACAGGAATGTAAAAGGTAGATATGACAGGTATGTTAAAAAGTAATTATGTGAGTGGTGCTAGAAGGTAAGTGTAGCATGGGTGTTAAAAGGTATGTATGACCTACCTGGATTTGAGAGACAGCAAATGATATAAAGTGATATACCTTTTCATGTTATTAGGACAAAAATGGTGTTAAGAATGAGAGTGATCAGTTAATTCTTCTTATTATTTTTTTTTTAAATACAAAGTTCTTCCAGACCAGGCTTTTCCAAATATGTTTTGAGCAAAGTCTCTCCTTAAGTGTTCTCTCTGTACCGATATGTCTATATTTTATGTATGCCAGATGCAGTCAGTTTTTTGTGCACACATTTTTGGATGAAACAATTACTGAGTGAATTACACTTGGGGATCTATTAGAATACTTTCTTTTAACACCAGGCACAGAAACATTGCAAATCCCCTCTACACGCATATGAGCCAGAATGATCAATAAATTGATCGTGGGCCCTTAATATAAAGAAGAAGAAGAAGAAAAAGTGATGTATGTTACGTACCGTAAAAAGATTGGAAAACTTAGTCTATTATTGTCTATATGGCTCGCTGACAAAACAATACACAACAAAAAACTATACATAAATTAATTACAATAACAAAGAAAAAGATACCCAATCTATGACTTATTACAATAAATAATTTTTATTAAGTTAATAATAAATTACAAAATCAAATAGAAATAAAAACTAAAACTATTGACTTACAGTATATTGATGATTTGTATCGGTACAATGTTGTAAAATGAACATACACACTCACACGGTAAATAAACAATCTCTGTCTCGTATAGCAAATATAGCAAATATCTATCGTAATTGTGATAGCAAACTATCTCTCTACCTCTCTAGAGGCCTATATATATAGACTGATTCAGAGACATTTCTAGAACGGGTTACACATTGTATTCCTCTCTTGATTAGTCTCGATTTATTTTATATAATTCTCAGGCCATATATTTGATTTAGTTGTCAACAAGGTAAACGTAAACTATTTTGAATTAGCCACTGCCTCTACGAGGTACCGAATTTGGGGTTTCCCGAAGTTCATTCACGGGGAAAGATGACGTAAACGTGTCGATTTCATAACAAGTGTACAAGTCAATATTTTTGGGTCAATGTGTATCTATTAAATGTCTGTCAATGAAATTACTGTCAATGAAATATATTTCTGTCAACAAAATTACTGTCATTGAAATGTTTGTTAATGAAATACCTGCCAATGAAATGTCTGTCAATGAAATGTCTGTGAAAGAAATTACTGTCAATGAAATGTCTGTCAATGAAACATATGTCAACGAAATTACTGTCATTGAAATGTTTGTTAATGAAATACCTGCCAATGAAATGTCTGTCAATGAAATGTGTGTGAAAGAAATTACTGTCAATGAAATGTCTGTCAATGAAATGTATGTCAACGAAATTGCTGTCAATGAAATGTCTGTCAATGAAATACCTGTCAATGAAATGTCTGAGGGACACCCCAGACCCACAACCAATAGGCACTCTCTACAATCAACGCCTTCAGTATCTTGAAAATTCCTTTGACATACCACTGTATGTAGTTAAAGTATGGGGAAAGTAGTTAAGATGTATCAAAAGATTCTACTGAATTAGAAGACGTATCACTACAAGCACTACTGGAAGTAAACAATCAAAAAACAAAATACATGATTATGTTAACAGAAACCACACTTTTGGAAAAGCAAATCCATTTAAATACCCAGGATCTTTAATAAAGGAAAGAAATGAATTGCTAACATTTCAGGTGGGGCTGAAAACTGGTAAGTGCATGTTGTCATCGGAAACGAGTCTATGCGCGAAGATTCAACTCGATAGGTTGACGAGAAGTGCGTCAATTAGCGTGCGAAAATTTTGTCAGTCCGTTACCCTGCCAGCTAGCCAGCCACGAACAAAAGCGAAGTTAGCATACATGATTTAAACACTAAGAACAATTCTGTACATCCAATGGTTCATGAAAATCTGTCGAAAAGGAATCCTTGAATTCGACTGACTCGTGCTTTCTGTCTCATGTTTCTCATCAGATGGATAACTGGATCGGCTCTTGGTGTCACAACGGAGCCCCCAAATACATTATATCGTGAGTATGTCTATGTGTGTCAAGCGTGGCACCTTTCATCACCTGTACAGATTGTCTACTACAACCATGACGTACTAGTGTCTCAACCAATGTAAATAAAGTCAAGTATAAATGTACTGAGGCTATGGTTCCAATATCAAATGTCTAACGGAAAGCTGAATACAAAAAAAAAAAAAAAAAAAAAAAAAAAAAAAAAAAAAAAAAAAAAAAAAAAAAA